GAAACACTGGAACAGGTTGCCCAGAGAGGTGGCAGATGCCTCATCCCTGGAAACATTCAAGGATAGGCTAGACAGGCCTCTGAGCAACCTGATCTAGTTGAAGATGCCCCTGCTCATTGCAGGGAGGTTGGAACTAGATGACCCTTAAAGGTCCCTTCTAACCGAAAGCATTCTATGATTCTACTAGTTTCAAGCTTAAAGAAGTTATCTCACTGTAATGGCATTACTGTTGCTTGTGAAAGTGACTCAGCTGGAAGTGAACAAGAAAGTTTTTAGGCAGTAGAGAAAAGTTACAACTATTTTGTAGCACACTATGTTTTTGACAGCCAAAAAAAATTCTAAAAACTCAAGATCATGTTAGAAAAGTGAAGCTTTCAAAATAATACTTATATTTTAATTCAAGTATAATTTGTTTTTAAATTACATTCCACAAAAAATCTCAGAAAATATTATCAGTAAAAAGAGGAGTAACTTCTTATTGATAAGATAAAACTCAGCTTTTACAATTACTGTCATGTAGTCAGTTAGAACCATGGAACTGGCACTACCACTTGCTATATTACTTGCATATCAAAGCTCATGTCGGTTCAACTTATTTTTCTCTCTCTGCAAGGAAGTCAAGAACAGAAGGCAGCACAACATGAATTCATCAACAGCAACCATGAAGCATACGCTGCCACCAGCTCCTCATCTCCATGAAGAACACCACTGTTGAAGCAACGGAGTTTGCAAAGCACAACGAAGACATCAGAAGCACCATTTTCATGGATACACAATAAAATTCTGTTATCATTTACATCTTAACAGCTCTCACAGTTGACACCAAACCACTCAAGCTGCCTTTCTTTCCAGTATAAAACATAGCCTTCTGACTTGTTTCCAGAGTCCATGTACATAACAGTAACACATCCAAAATCTAATGATGCACCAACAGAACGTATCTGAACCGATTTCTCTCTTCACACAAAACAAGACTGTCGCTTTAGCTATTCCTTTACTCTGATCCAATATCATCCGTGGAGACTTATCTTTTTTTAACAATTTCTAATGCTTATGGATTCTATAATAATCTTGTAGACTAGGTATTTCCCTTATCAAAAAAGAAGTATGTTCACAAGCAGATTTGACATGTTCCCAAACAATCCTCTGTTAACAGTTCTACCTAGGTACTTGGTCTGGTTGGAATGGAGTTAATTTTCTTCATAGTAGCCCATGTAGTGCCACATTTTAGATTTATGATCAAGACAGTGTTGCTAACACACGAGTGTTTTGGACAGTGGCGAACTGTGCTTGCACTGCATCAAGGCCTCTTTTCTCACACTGTTCTGTCAGTGAGTAGGTTGGGAGCGGGCAAGAGTTTGGGAGGGAACAAAGCTGGACAGCTGACTCTGACTGACCAAAGAGATACTCCATACCATAGAATCATGGAACAGTTTAGGTTGGAAGGGACCTTTAAAGGTCATCTAGTCCAAACCCCTGCAGTGATAATGTCATGCTTAGCAATAAAACTGGGGGGAAGTTTCTCCAAAGTAGCCATTGCTCAGAGACTGGCTGGGCATCAGTCTGCTGGTGGTGATGCTTTTGCATCACTTGTTTCTTTTTTTTTTTCCTTCATTTATTAAACTGTCTTGATCTAGACCCACGAGTTTTCTTCCCTCTCTTTTCTCCTTCCAAATCTCTCCCCTAACCTGCTGCAGGAAAGCGAGCAAGAGACTGGGTGTTAGCTTAGCTGCTAGCTGGGGTCAACCTACCACCACATATAAACACAGAAAACATTTTAATTCAGGTAATGACTATTTCCTCATTATGATATTCTCCCAAGAATTCCTGCCTGCCTCCCCCAACAAAAATAGTCCTAACTTGATTCTGTCCTAACCTAGCTGTTCTCATTGTACTGAGTCATTATAGTTCTGAAAACACAGAAAAGAGGTCCATTCAATAAAACTTTGATTCACTTCCAAGACAAACAAGACCGCCTACCATTTCTAGTTTCTCCAGATTCTCAGTTTTAGCAATATGAGAAAAATAGGCCAAAATAAGCTAACAAAATTTCCAAACACTGTCATAGCACTAAAAATGCAGCATGAGATCCCTAGATCTGAACTTCTGGTAAATTTTGGTTTATATAAGATAATCACAGTGCCTAAAGCTCTCCAGGTTTCCAACACTGCTTCAGTACGAGCTGACATTACACCCTACTTACAAGCAAGTGATAATGGTCTGTTGTTAAAAGGGCTAACGCTTTCTATGTCTGGCTTCACAGATCACCAACAGTAGCGCTATGAAGACCATGTTATTAAGAACCCTTTTTGATTTATTAGGAAATGACAATTTAAAGCATAAGATTGAAGTTCTTCATAGTTTCTCCTAATAAAAGCTTAATTCGTGAGTTCTTTTTTAAAGCCTACTGTATAAACTACAGAAAGCAAAACAGTTTTATAAACATTAGCTGATGATTCAACTCTTCCTTGTTAGGAAAGTTAGAAGCAGACCTCTTTATTTGTATCTAACCATATTAAATACAAGTAAACAAAAAGCCATATACTCAAATTCTTGAGAAATGCACATTTGATTTCCAAATTTTTCATTTTTGCCTTTTTTTTAATCTGTTTTTTGACATTTTTATTTCTCTGTCTAACTGTTAGACAATTATCTGAGGAATTATCGACATTCTGCAGGAAAGTTTAATAGAGGTGATCATTTAAGTGTACATACTTCACAAGCCTTCTACATCCTACTGATGTTCTTAAGTTGGCCCTATTGAAATGTTCCAAAAGATCTAATGGGAGACGAAATAGAAGAAATGTAGGTAAATCTTTTCTCAAAATCACACTCGGATTGTTAGACCTTATACAAATATTAAAACCTGGGTCACATAAGGCAAGCGTATGGACATGCATTTTTCAAACTGGTCACCACAAATGACTCACAAGAAAACCACAGGACACCACAATCACAATTCAGTAACATTCTTAAGAATAAGGTTAATAATAATACATCAGTGGTAAAAATTTATGGAAAAGTTTACTCTTCCTCTAAATAGCAAAACATTAATATTACCAGCTGGGTAGATTCAACACCAATCATTTTCTTAGATGTCACATCATGATAGTTATGTCACAGCAGCACAGATCAAGACAAATATTACCTGTTTGTCAATGGCGGCTTCCAGTTCAGGATAGCCTTCTTTATCAAGCTGGATATCTGGAAACAGATCTTCAATTAGACTCAGGAATAAGGGTTCATCTTCATCAATCTAGTGAAAATTGGGGGGAACCACAGATTAAAACCTTTCTTTTTAATTCTAGCATCCTAAAAACCAATCCCTAACTCTTGCAGAGCTAAAGAAATATTTGAAAACATAAGGAATCATCTATGGTAATCCTCTAGGTGCTAAACACTCTAGCAGGACACAGCAGAAGGAGATCATGTGATGCTTCCAATATTCAAAAGTTATTGAAATAAATCACTAATACACAGATTGAATTTATTAAAGTAGATTTTAGCAATAACATTTATACAAATAGTAAATTATTTATCTAAGGTGCTAAAAAAGATAATAAAGGAGATGAAGTATCACAGCAACAGAAGAGGTTTTGTTAGCTATTTAAGACAGATGAGACGGTACTCATTACTAAGAATAACAGATTATTTCAAAAGAGTAACTAAATACTTTAGGTCAAAGGTTCTAAAGAGGTTACTACATAGACTTCTACTTGGTCAATTATTTCTACAGGTAGCAGGGGAAATGTGTAAAAAAAATTAATCTGAATAATTCAAGGTGGTGGTGTTCAAGCCGGGTAGGCAGCCAAGCAACACACAGCCCATCACTCACTGCCTCCCTAGCCCCATACAAGGTACTATGAAGAAAATTAACTCTATCCCACACAGAACCAGTACCCAAGACTATCCAGAGAATGCAACATTTCCAAGCCAGTTTCAGTGTAAAGGCCACATCCAATCTTCTAGTGATCACCTTAACAGATTTAAATTGTATTTCAAAAAAAAAAAAAAAAAACAAAACCCAACACATAGCCTCAAAGTGCATTTTAATTAATTTACCAGGCCCTTGGAACTTACTAGTTTAGACAGATTCATGTCTCTCAGTACACGCATGACAATGGTAGATTCAGTATCTGCAGGATTCGCTCTTTTTGCTGCTCCTAATGTACGCAGCACTGACAATATATTCCGCAAGCCAAAATCATAATGCACCTAGAAGATATGCAAAGTTTGGGAAAATTTTCCCTGAGGTAACAGAGATGAAACAATTCTTATTTATCATTCAAGATACGGATATGTATGAGAAGTGGTACATGTGGTACAAATGCCTTTTAACATCCAACAACTACTCTTTGGCTGTATGACTATGGGCAATTTCATTCCTCACCTCTGCAACCACCTACTAAACTGCAAGGTATGACAGACAAAAGAAATGTGATCACAATCACAAGTCTGTGAACCAAGATAAGATTGCCAAGGACTATTAAGAAATAAACTAGCAGTAATATTTTGAATTCTCTGTGGACCTTGGAAACTGACTTTATTTGAGAAACATCTAAACAAGCACAGACAGTACAAACCAAATGCCTCTCAATCCACTCTATAAGACCAACTAATATATAAGCCCTTTGCCTTAATCGTCACCATTCATTAAAGCTAAACCTTAATAATAAGCCGTGTTCTGAATGATAGTCCCATTCTTGAACAAATAACCTGTAGCAGGAGTTAATCCACTAGGACAGCAGATGGTTGCACTACTAAACTGCAAGTGTCATTTAGCTTACTTAGTGAACATGAATTTTTCCATTTTCTTCACACAGATACTAATAACTTGTGACATCATATATAGTTTTTCCCTAAGATAATTTTTTCTGATATGAAAATAATCACCTGCTTTGACAGTTGTTCTTCACACAGCTTGTACAGTGTGAAGAATTTCCTTGCAAGTACAACATTAGCAATGAAACCACAACTAGCCAATTTAACACGAATTATGATTTGACGATCAGGAACCATCATAGCCACCGAACGGAAGTTGATCTTCAAGTTTTCAGGAAGTTCTTGCCGTCCAGCATATCCTGGATTCTGGAGAGAAGAACAGGCTTTGAAGTTGACTGCACCTTGCACAAACAGAAGAATCAGCAAGGAAACATGTAATCTGGTTAGACAAAACCAGCTTTTTGGCTTTAAATCACATGTAAAAATGAACTGCCATGCAGATTTACCACCATACCTCTACAGTATTTTAGCCTTTCTTATATCCATGAGGTATGAAAAATGTTCCACCTAAACACTTCAAATCTGTATTTGTCTTATAGGTCCTGTTTTTACTGGCTACTTCTACCTATATCTCTATGGCCACTTTTCTGTATTTGTAGCAAAAATCATTCTTTGGGAACCAGAATGTAGCATGCAGAAGTAATCTGAGATTGAGATAACAACTTGTATTTACAATATTGGTTACATTTGTTAATTGCATGTGCTTGATGTCATTGAAACAAGACCTTGTAAACTGTCTTTGTAGTAATGTTCAGTGTTCTCAAACTGTCAGTGAGTTCCAAGAGCTAAGTAGGATAAGAGTTAGCAAGTACATTTAACACACCAGGTTAGAAGCAATTACTGTACAATCAACATTGGCATATTAGAAACCTACTGAATACCTACCATAGTAAGAAAGATGCCAAATTCTGGGTTCATTTCCACATTATCTCCATCAGTAAAAATAAAACTTCTTTTACGTTCCTTCTTACACGTCAACACAATTGCAATTTGCTGTGCAGCTACTGATAATACTGGTAAATCAATACGATTGAATTCATCAAAGCAACCCCAGGAGCCAGACTGAGCAAGACCTTCAAAGAGAAAAGCAACTAAGCATCTGACCATTATGTTGTTAACCTCATTTTGGTGCAATTCATAAGCCAAAAATCAGGTTAATCTACCTCAGGGGAAAAAAAAAATAATTGTTGAGGGCTGAGAAAGGGACAAGTAGAAGACTTTAATTCTTTTTCAAGCAAGAATTAACAAAGTTCCAAAAGTCCTCAAGCTTGTCTAGGATACTACATCCTTTGATTTCTGCTCCTTCTCTCAGTATCTTGAATGTTTTCCTGTTCCTCCCTATCCCCCCAAAAAAATCCCTGCAATAAGTCTATGAAAATATGATGGGTTGTCAATAGCTTATTGCACAGACTAAAATGAACAACAAAGTTGCTTTCATCTGGAAAGAAGTTAGGGGGCAGTCTGTGCCAGAACTGCATTCTTCCTTGGATATTTTGGGGAAAATGAAACAAAAAAATCATCAACAGAGTCACTTGCAACAATACCATAGTCAAGGACCTCCACTTGACTTCTAATTCAACATCTGCCATGACTGACAGTTATCAATTCCAAGTGCCTAGAAAAAAAAAACCTGTGATATGCATGTAACTTCAGTGAGCTGTGCCAATTGTTTTTTTAACAAATACAGTGCTATTCATGCACTTCAACTGATAAGAATTTTGACATTTGAAGGGGACAAAATACTGAAATCAGAAGCCAACACATTCCACTAGTTCAGTAACAAATTTCACAGCTTTTTCTTTTTGTACTGGCAGTCCTCTGATTATTTTAAGTGTCTTTATGTATCCTTTCATAAACTGTCTTATGTTTTCAGACATTTCCATTTCTTGGAGACAGTGCTGCAAATGTATTTTACATTCATAACAAGATATTGATTACTTGCATTTATTAAAAGGCTGAAAACCACTTGCTGATTATGTGCTGACCTCGTATTATAAAGATGTTCTCTTAGCATTTGTAACTTTCACATAGTCCATAGAATCATGATCACAGAATATCCTGGGTTGTGGACTCCTGAGGATCAAGTCCAACCCCTGACTTCACATAGGGCTACCTAAAAGTGAAACCATATATCTAACCATGTTGTCCAGACACTACTTGAACACTGACAGGCTTGGGGCCCTGACTACTTCCTCAAGGAGCTTGTCCCAGTGATTGACCACACTCTCCATTAGAACATTTTCTTAATACCCAACCTGAGGTTCACCTGATGCAGCTTCAAGCCATTCCCTCATGTCCTATCATCAGACACCAGAGAGAAGAGACCTTGTCTCTAAGCTGAACAAACTGTTCCTCATAAGTCATGCCCTCTAGTTCTTTCACCATCTTTGTTGCTCTCCTTTGGACATACTCTAATATTTTCATATGATTCTTACATTTTGGTCCCAAAACAGCACAAAGTACTTGAGGTGCGGCCAGTCCAATGCTGAGTATACTGGGACAATCACTTCTTTTGATTGGTTAGTATATCGTGCTTAATGCACACCAGGATACAGTTGACCCTTTTGGCCAACATTTTACCTTTAGTCCACATCTTACCTTTGAAGATCCTCCCAAGTCCTCGGAAATCCATCTGGTCTGAACAGTTGAAGACCACTACGTATTTTCCAAGGCACCGGCCCATGTCTTTGATGGTTTCAGTTTTTCCAGTTCCTGCAGGTCCCACAGGTGCTCCACCCATGTTCATGCCTAAAGCTTGAGCCAAAGTGATGTAACATCTAAAAGGCAATAGGTTATCATCACCTAATGGGCTGCAGTAGAGAGTTTTCTGTATAGTGCCAGAGGAACTTACTTAAGTGTGTTACATGAGGAAGGTCTGATTTAAGGAGGCAAAGAAACTGCTGAAATGATATGTCTCTAATTACAATTTAAATCAGTAAGAAGGAAAACCCTTCACTCAGCCTCTGATGCAGGTAATACTAAGGTTCGTCTCCTCATATATTAAGTGGAATAACAGGTAATCCTCAATAATCAGCAACATGGAAGATCACAAGAAGGGAAGAAAGCAGATACAGAGATGCTGCCTAATATAGTTTGGTTAGTTTTGTTCCTGAATTACTTTAATTGAAGTAGTTCTGAACTACATTATACTGTGGCATACAATAATGAAAGACAGCTAACCTTTCTTTTCTCATCCACCTTTAAAATTTGATCATACAGCGCATCCTATTTTCAAAAATTAAACTTCTATGTGTAATGCAGTAAAACACTAGCTAACAATTATATCTAAAGAGAAGCTCTAGAATTTGATGTGTGGAATAGTTAAATTAAAAATTTTTTTTTAAAAAAAAAAAAAACACCCAATGCCCCTATTTTGCCAATGATAGCTTATAAAGCATTCTTTGTGTTATTCCAGTTAGGTACGCAGACCTCTCTGTTAACAGGACTGCAATTCTTTCAACATCCTTCTAGATCAAAGACCTCCAAACTATTGCAGCTGAATAAAACTGTTTTTCCTATCTATTCTTCCTTATCTCTTTTCATTAGCTTGCCTGTAAACACTTATTTTTGTCCTGCATGTCTCTCTGCATCTTGTGTCTGTTGGATGTACCTGATCCTCAGGTACACGAGCCTCACATACATGAGAATCAGAGTCCCATACATCATATATGTGGGGATCACACAAGTATGCAGCAGAAATTAAGCTGGAAGTTACTCATATTGTAAGGCACAGAAACAAAAATATTCATGTAAAATTATTGACTTTGATAAGACTGTGAAGGATAAACTCTGCAGAGTTCTATTTTGCATCCAATAGGAATGACTAAATTGTTCTTGTAAAAGCCTAGGTTTGCTGTCGAAGAATAAAGGAATAAAATAGTCTTTTTCACCTGTCTGTAAGAGGTGTTATGACAAGCCTGTCAGTACAGCCCAAGAATTCATTCTGGTATGTGAAACCCACATCAGTGATCTTAATCATCATTTTATCAGAGTCTTCATTAAAATAAAATCTACACTGTTTCAGCCACTCGAAGTCTGTAGGGCTCTTGATATGCATGCAACACTAAGAAAAGAGGAAAAAAAAGGCTAGCTGTGATATTCACAGTTAACATTTACTTTCGCATTTATATTATCTCATCTAAGTAATACTGCAAAAGCAGCACTGCAATCACAATGAAAGGCATAAAAAACAGCTAGTAACACAAGAATATTGGAGACCCTATCTTCCTTTTTACCACAAAAATTGCTAATGTGTTATTGCTGTCCCTGAAACCCATACTAAGGCAAAGGAACTTTAGGCTTTAGATAAGTGTGTAAATATTCTAAATACAAACGAACAGTTCATAAGCCTCAAACAAAAGTCATTAAGTTCAGTTAACATTAAAACCACCATTTCTTTTACCTCTACCACTTCATTTTTACATATGAGTAGGAAGCACATAATGTGATAACTGATTTTAAAAAAAGTCATGAGAGTTGTATGAAACCACTTGCAAATTGGAAAAAAAGTACTTCAAGACATTGTCATGGTGTAGATATTAGTTAAGAATTCAGTTGACCAACTGAATTTTAAACAGGATTAAAAAAGATGCCCTGCAAGTTATATCTAAAAATTATACTTTACATAAGATGATTATAACTAGAAACAACTGGTTCTACAACAAAAAGAAAGATGCCTGCCTATCAGCAACAGGTTAAAACTCTGTAATTCTTTTCTCAGCTTAATTTCTGAGTCAGGTCCAGAGCTTCCTATAGGTAAAGAGTATGCTAGCTTTTAAGTTTGATTGTTAAGCAGTAAATGCTTTCATTTTCCTAATTTCAGTATCTTATGGCAGCATAAGAAGTTGTGAAGTGAATAAATAAATCCCTAAGTACTAATTAAGTATACTATTGAAAGCAGAACAGAAGGGATAGCAGCTTCAACCAACATCAAACTTTTTCCTGTACTATAACTCTACATTCATTCTATTTACTCCTCAAAACTCACAATGCAGTCCAGAGAAAGGACAATTACTTGCAACACAATGTATGAGGAAAAAGAAGTCCCTAACTGATCATACAACAGAGGCATCTAACTTAAGTGGGTCAACACAAAGCATTATAAAATTCTGTTATTGTTTGTGGGGGGGGAAACACTGAATTACTTAAAGGGAAACTAAGACATGGATTGAAGCAACCTCAGCATTTTTATAATACTCCAGGTCACATAATCGTTATAGTCCTGAAATTTAATGTTGAACTTAAGAGGCAGGAGTTCATAGGTATAGTAACATTTTCTTTTTGTCCTTTTACATTGTTTTACATGGAAACCACCTCATAACTTATTGTAAATTTTTCAATACTTACCAGACCATCAAAAATGTCCCTCTGATGCACATGAATAGTGATCAATGTCTCGTATTTAACTCGCTCGACTGGGCTGAGGTCTTTTGTTGTCATATTTATCAGCGTGTTTAGAAGATCCAGGAACAACTGGTTGGTCTTTCGCATAATTTTTTTATCATACCTGGCATTAGTCAAAGCTTCTTCTGAATCTCTTGTCCAAATCATTTGGATTCCCAACAACCCAACCTTGGGAAACATAAATGTATATGCTGCGTAATCTTTTCTCTTTCACCTAAAAACGTACATTCACAGACGCAGATAGACTAAAGAAATGGTTCTGCTACTATTTGTATAAAATTATTTTTTCATGCATCCATATAGATGTCATTCAACCCACGCATCTGTTTTATGTCTCAACTCCATTCATAAACAGACAGTTAAGTCCACATTTCAGTCTTGTAGATATTGCCTACTGTGCACTGCTGATACAACTGTTCAATATAATTTACAGCATATATAAAAATACTATATATAATTAATATACTTTATATATAATAACTAATCACTGAATAATTAATGCTTCAATTTAAAATATTTTTCAATAATTCACAAACTCTTTATTTGCTCTCCAACAACATTCCTGATCACAAGTGAAGAAGCTTCTCCTAAGAAAATAATCTTCCCTCAGCACTACCCTCAGCCTCAAATCCTTAGCAATATATAGTATTTTCCTGAATATATAAACAAACATACAATTTTACTACTTTTCCTTCAGTAGTCAAGTATTAAGCTTGCAAAGAAACAGTGTTAACTCCATTGCATTAATTCATTGCATTCAGCATTATTTTTGCACAAGAGCTTCAGGGTAAGTTTTCTTCCTTTGGTTTCAGATATGTAAAGCATAACTTAAAAGACTGAGGTGATTAAGATAAATTTAAATGTCAGTTTTGCATTTATAACACTGACTGCGATTTTGATTGCAAAGACAAGAAAAAACATCAACGTGCTACATATACATGAACAATTTTTCATTGATTTAACAATGACACTACCTGGGCTGGGTAAGTACAAAGAAATTCAGTCAGCTGGAAACTGGTTTCCTGGATGTGTGCAGCTGCCTGACGAATAACATGATGCAGTGACAGCTGGGATTCCTTCAACAGAGAATTGAGCCAAACTTCCACATTACCTTCAGCCATTACAGGTCTAGTCAGCTCTATAGTTTCACCCTCTCGTGAACTAATTGACAATATACGGTCATATATCTAATAAAAGAAAAGCAAGAACATTTCGTGTTTATAGATTCGTTGTTATCTTTACCATATGTAAATGTAAAAACAATTAAATCATTACTTTTGGTGTGCAGAAAGGCTTTAAACAAAACACTGTCAGCTGAACAAGGAGACAAGCCCCAATACATTGACAATTCCTGAATTTCACTTAAGTTTCAGTGACAACATCCACTTTCCAGTCACAATAAAGGAAACCTTCCCCCATTATTGGTGGGTTAATATCCTAACAAAATTTACAGCCTTATGATCAAAAATAATGGAAACACAAAAGTTAAGGAACATTGTCAATCAAAGGAATTTCAAATGCATGGGGAGGTAGTGAATCTCTAAGAAAATGTATACATACACAAGAAAAATAAAAAATTTTGTTGCTATCTGTTCTTGTAAAGGGTATAAGAAAATTGTTCTTTAAACAGTATGTTTGAAGGCTTATTAAGGATAACTCAGAAACAGCTGACAGACTAGATACACTTTTTCTTACAATCAAAAAATTAATGAAAACGTACAAATACAGGCAATTTAAAGATACAAATATGCTCATAAAGAATCAGAATACTATCTGAGTGGATGCTAGCCTCTATTAAGCCACAGAGGACAGTTCAGTACCTGGGTGTTTTTTTCTGAAACCTAAGCACTAGTTAGGTTTCACACTGGTGCAAATTTTTGTTTGTTTTGCTGTTTTATGTAGCGTTTTCCTATTACGTAAATGAGGATATGAAACTAAATCTTAAATGAAGAAAGCCTACACAGCATCAAATAGTCAATAAGCTCAGTAAAACAGTTGAATGCCCTTTGCACCCAGGTAGCTTTCTTATTTAACAAGTACTGTGCATTGCTAATTTGAAAGAATGTAACTTTGAGGTGCGGGCAGCACATACCTTTTCGTGGAACATGACAGTTTTAATGTTGTCAAAGACATTCAGCAGATGTGCCTGTATATTGTGAGAGTCTGACGCTTGGCCAAGAATTTCTAAGAGAGCAGGATCTGACACAAAGAAAAATCGTGGAAATAGGAGGCGTTTCTTCTCCAGGTACCTGCATTTAAAAAAAAAAAAAAAGGCAGGGGCAGGGGAAGTAGATGGTAAGGGAATTACACCCTTGCCTCTTTAAGGGTGGCATTTCTCACAATGCATCATTGCAATTTTTAGCAGTGGCAATAAGAATAATTCTTATCCAGCACACATTCTTGTTAAGTACCTGTTTATAGCTACTATTTTAGCATTAGAAATCATTTAATGGAAAGCTTTTATTATTTGCTATAATGTAAGCACCAGTAAAAAGAAAAGAAACTAAATGAAAATAAATTTTTTATATTAAGGCTGTTACTTGCTATTTATGTCTCTCATACTGAATTTCTCCCAGTTTCATGAAGGGTCTGAATAGGACATACAGATCTAGACTGCTTTCTGGATTGAAACTAAGGTGAAACAAGCTTTGGTTTCAACAGAGAGACAGTGAGTGACAGCTTAGTCACAAATCAAATACTTATCAATGAGTTGCTAGCAATTTCTTTGGAGGTGGTACATCCTGCTAACTTGTCTGCTCAGTTCACTGAATTCATAGTAGAATAAGAACATGATCTTTGCAAAGTCCGTGGGACAGTACTCAGGCAATTGCTCTTT